TCTCTCTCTCTCTCTCTCTCTCTCTCTCTCTCTCTCTCTCTCTCTCTGTGTGTGTGTGTGTGTGTGTGTGCGTGTGTGTGTGTGTGTGTGTGTGTAAGTCTCAATTCGATGGGCCTACGCGGTTCGATTGAGAGTTGTTCGGGGGTAGTTAAGGGAAGTCGCGTTCAATTATAAGAGTGGCATTGTTTTATAGCAGGTCTTCTAATTAATGAATCGAGTATTCGGCATCCAATATCGGCTTGGAATTTGCTGTCCGATAGGGAACATCCGATCACACATCTGAACTAGTCTTTTGATGTGCGCCGTAACGCTGGCCATGCCGTGTTTCTTGCAGCATTCCCTGGAAGACAACACAAGAAAAGAAATGGAGCGGCATTTGTCAGAGTCACTTCGTGTACAGCGGTGCGTCATCTCTCTGTCTCTCTCTCTCTCTCACACACACACAGAGGCGCGGGCTATAGCACACGCACGTCTCCCGCCCCATCTCTCTCTCTCTCTCTCTCTCTCTCTCTCTCTCTCTCTTCTGTACCTCGGCCCTCCCTGAGGTGCGAGCTACTCTCTCTCTCTCTCTCTCAAGGTTCGTGTGTGCGAACCTCTCTCTCTCTCTCTCTCTCTCTCTCTCTCTCTCTCTCTCTCGGTGCGTGTGTCATCAAGTGCGAGCGTCTCTCTCTCTCTCTCTCTCTCTCTCTCTCTCTCTCTCTCTCTCTCTCTCTCTCTCTCTCTCTTCTTTTCTTTTGTTTTTCTTTCTTTTCCACGTGTTCCTCCTTATGATTGCTCGTACCCCTGGGTACGTTACAGCAGCATTATGTTCGCAGAATGAAATGCACATGAAGGGTGGCTTTCACATGCGCAAGGTTTTATTGAGGACATCTCTTTCCTGCTCACGGCGGCCATGGCACGTGGGATGTTTCTAGAACTGGAATTAGCAGCCCTAAGGCTGCTCTATAGTAGGCTTCAGTATCTGTGTCAAGGTGGCACATTTTCGGCGCCGGGGGACGGGCTCACAAGCGGGTTGTAACGTGGTGAAAGTTGTTGGGGGACAGTCCACAGCATTTTTACGGACTACCTCCAGCTATCGAGTGTAGAACGGGTGCCGTAGCAAAATTGGAGGACGGGTCTTCCCTTGCTTGTGAACTGCAAAAGGGCCCTCAGGCCCAGGCATTGACGCCCATCTTAAAAAAACAGGGAGGTCAGGCGCAATGAAGCACACGCATTTTCCAAGTGGCAACTTTGCCAATTTTCTGTGCTCAGAGGAATCCGCAGGAAATCTGAAAATTTGAGAATCCATGGATTAGGTCGTGTTCTTTACAGAAAAAATATCAGAATTTTTTCAAAGAATCATTTAGACCGCGAAATAATAGCCGCGCCGATTCAGCACATTTTCTATTTTTGCCACTCAGCCATGCGTGGGCCAACTGAAACGGTATTGTCTACCACATGGGCGGGGAACGCAACCCTAAGGTAGCCAAAGCAATGAGACTAAGAGCGAGAGAGAGAGAGAGAGAGAGAGAGAGAGAGAGAGAGAGAGAGAGAGAGAGAGAGAGAGAGAGAGAGAGAGGCTGAATGGCAAAATTGAAATAT